TTTGGACTTGTTGGGACAATGTTTTATTGTTAACGAAACTAAATCACAGGGGATGTAAGTTTTTCTAACTATACTGTTTTTTTTTTTGTTAAAAAATTGAAAAAGAAACTCATCTCAAAAATGTATATGTCAATGTTGGATTAGATTCAGATTCAGGAGTAAATCTTTTAAAAATAAAATCTACTTTGTCTACCAAATAAGGCAGGATAAGTATGTGGAATAAGAAATTCCACAGTAGATTTAGCATTTTCCTCTAATGGGGTGGGAAAAGTTTTGTGGGGCTTTTCGTTAACATACTAAACATAGTCAAACGTCATTAATGGGTTGATGTATGTGATAGCCCCGTCAGAGCCTAGCTCTCCAAAACCAAATGAGAAAGTGTTGCAGGACATTGTTGCTCAGTAACTCCATCTAATCTCCATGCAACTTTACATAGTCTGAGCAATTATGCAAAGATAGTTCAGAAAGAACATGTGTTGAGGTTGTTACAGACCCACTGTACCCACTATCTATAAATTCAATGCAGAAATTGCTGCCAAAGGTGACTCTCCGAAGTATAGGCCTGAAGGGCATGAATACCTGTGCAGTCAGTTACTTTGTGTATTATATGTGTATATAATTTAGATCCATTTGTAGAAATTTGTTCGCACTAGACATTAAAGAATCTTGTTTTAATCAGAAAAATGCTTAATTGCATCCACTTAAAACATTATTAAAAAAAGGATGAAAGATGAAACAGTCCAAAGAGACGTGAATACTTTTTATAGGCACTGTATAATCATATGCAAATACAGTAGTGTTAGTCATGTAAGTGGTTTGCACAGTGGGGTCGTGTTTAGTCTTTGTTTATTTATGAATCCTTTCAATAGCTCTCATTATTCAAGAATCTTGCTGGTCTTGTTTTGTGTAGGGGTTTGTTTGGGCATGCAGCTGGCAGTGTGCGAGTTTGCCCGCAATGTTCTCGGATGGGAAGGTGAGTAATTGCTATGTTCAACTGGGGACTCTGCTAAGTAAAATTCTACCCCTCTGGGTTCTAATTTAATGATGAAAGAACCATAGATGTGTTGGGAAGTTGATCTGAGCTTTTATCAGTTTTGCTTATCTTTTTCAGACGCCAACTCCACAGAATTTAATCCAGAATCACAATACCCTGTGGTAGGTTATCTTTTTCTGCCATGCATGCATCACAACATATCAGCAGTCTTCACTGGAATGGTTTTAGCATGTTGTCTGATCTTGACAGGTGATTGACATGCCAGAGCACAACCCAGGGCAGATGGGTGGCACTATGAGGTTAGGGAAGAGGCGGACCATTTTCAAATCCTCCGCCAGTGTACTGAGTATGTATCCTCCTTGAGTTGAAATGCAGACTGTTGGCTTTTTGATCATGTCCAGCTCTATTGTGTTTCTGATGACTGATATTTCATTGTTCTAGGAAAACTGTACGGAGATGTGGACTATGTTGACGAGAGGCACAGACACAGATTTGAGGTAGAAACAAACAAAGTTTTAAATCTTTTTGTTGAGGAGTGCAAAGCTTCTTATTCCTGTACACGCGGCAAGGACTTGAGGTCCCCTTTAAACTTTCTGTTTTTCATTTTTTGTGTCCAGATCTGGTTTTGAGGTATTATAATAAAAATTTAAAAAAATATATTTTTTAAAAACCTTTCCTGAATCATTTAACCTTTGCTCATTTTAGGTTAACCCTGAGCTGAAACACCACTTTGAAAAAAAGGGTCTTCAGTTTGTCGGCCAGGATGTGGAAGGAGAAAGAATGGAGGTCATTGAATTGGAGAGTGAGTGGAAAGTGTTTTTGAAAACCGGAATCCACATGCTGTTGAGTGATAATGAATACAACATTCTGTGTATCACCTAGCTGCTCTTTGGGATGTACTTTTGTCATCTCTTCTGTTTCTGAAACAGCTTTGCCTCAAATTCTCCTCCTTTGTTTCTATACGTGTAATGTATGTCACATGTTAAAATCCGTCTTTGTTGTTTCAGATCATTGTTACTTTGTTGGAGTGCAGTACCATCCCGAGTTTACCTCAAGGCCCATCAAACCTTCTCCTCCATACTTTGGTCTCCTGCTGGCCGCTGCAGGAAAACTCCAAAGCTACCTAAGCAAGGGCTGTCGCCTTTCTCCACGGTTAGCTCCGACACAGTGTTGTGTTGCATTATTCAGATGAAACCTCTAAATTACTGTATGATGCTCACACAGTTTATAGGTTTAGCTCTAACTATTGTTAGTTCTCTGACATTCCACTTGAGTTTTTTTTGACATTTTGCAATAAATGAGATGGTAAATTATATCAATTGTTAATACAGTGCTTCATATTTAATTTTATTTATATATTTTTTTCCCTCCTCTACACAGCCTAAAGTATTGTCTGAATTCAATTTTAAAGCGGTTTGTTTTGCAGTGGCATCAAATCACATTTAAACACATGGAATATGTTTTTTAGTATTTAATCTGTTAACTGACATAACATGGTTAAAATCTAAGATCTACCTTAGCTTTGATTGAGACATGTGAGTACGTCTTTCTATTCTGCAATGTAATTCCATCAAAAGGCCCATGGGTAGTACAGCTATAGTTTACAATGACACTGTTCATCATTGCACCTGCAATCACAATGAAGCAATCCCTGTCAGGCATTACTGCTTTAATACTCATTTTATGTATTCATCTACCATTGCAGGGACACTTACAGCAGCAGCAGCGGCAGCAGCTCTCCTGAAGCTGACATCAGCGAGCCGAAGTTCCCCTCATTGTCCTGAGACTAAAACACACGTAGTTGTTGTGTTTGTGTGTCACTCATGCAGGTAAATGCAAGGCTCAGAAGAAAGCAGGTCTGCCCTTAACTGATGATGCAAAACCAAACTTTATTGAACTGTTTTTTACACTCGGATTGGTACAATGTGTTGTAAATTCATATTCTAAATATATTCTGCCTTCACTGGTTGTATAAAGGTAAAGGGATGTCTTGTGGTCAACTGCATGGGGCTTTACTTTGGCTGCAGTAAGCAAAAGCCAGAATAAACATGGGACAATTGTATGAAAAAGACATTGTGGAATACCTGTACAGAAAACTGACGTTAAATGAAAAAGAAAACAGAATAGGGTGAGACATGAATGGGAAGACATCACTCTTAATATACGTATATAGCATGTGCAATGTCTTGCAACTTTAAACTCATGATCCTTGGGCAAAATTGTGAAGAGATGGATGGTGTATTTCGCAGTAAGATAGAAACTTATGACTGGTTCAGAACGAGCAGAGCAGTTTGCAGGAAGCAACAGTGGCAAATAGTTATGGTAGGATTCAGGGTCTGTGCAATCAGGTTTCTTCTTGGGGCAGCCATCCTGCAGATCAAGCCAATCCAACGGATGAAAACACTCATGACTTTGTACGGTCGTTTGCAACTTTTTACCTGTGTCGTGACACTTAGACATATCATTGATACATGTACCTCTTTGAAATGTTTGTCTGTTACAATTTTATTTTACGTATTAATGTTTTTCTTATTAGAGGTTTTAATACCAACTTCAAAATACTCATTTGGGCTTACGACACCACAATGTGAACTACATGCTATTCTGGTTTTAAATAATCTTTGCATCCAAATCCATACAGCAAGATTAGATTGGACCAAAAACTTGTGCTACCAGTTCAGGTTACATGACTTTTATGTGTGAGACCTTTTGCCTGCTGACATCAACAAACACAGCTTTGAACTCCATTGCCTTTTACTGCCGTATCTGACCCGTAACTTCCTAAAATGAATTATGCTGATGCGCAGTCATTTGACAATTCGGCCAACTGAAAGTGACCCTTGAGTCAACAGTATTAACTGAAAAAGAAAGTTGGCATGAAAAATTATCTGGATCTCAAAATATAAGTACAGCCAACTGGAGATAAGCATCAAGCTTCCAAATTACATTTTCACTTCTAGTCTTGTCAAATTGATTGATATTGAATCATCACTGGACCAAGATAGTTAAAGCATTGCTGCCACTGCCTTAATTTATCTCTTGGTGACCCCAATATATGAAAAACATGCCATATTTTTATATTTATGAAGTTCAGATGCATGCATGATGTGATATATATGTTTGTTCTGAATAAATATATTTTTATTCCTCTTGACAATCTGGCCTTTTTTCTAGTAGACCTGAGAATCCTAGCAAGTTCTGCTTTTTACCAGATACTTAAACGTTGCGATAAAACTATTAAAAGATGCATGCAATGATACTCTTACACATCGTTAAAAGAGACTGAAAAGCTTTGTATTTACTGAAAGCACTATTTCCAGTGTATTTTGATATATAAGTGCACTTAAAAACCACTGGTGCCCACTGTATTTATTTACAAAAATAAAGGTCCCCCCCTAGAGGCTGCCCTACTCATTACACCCTACAAAGAACACAATAAATTAACAAGTCTAGTCTGTCTAGTGATACTCTAGTGAAAGCTCAATTCATTTGGGAATGATCCTACCTGTGTCTAGTTGTGTGTTTACAATGTTAGTGTGTATTTGGACCATAGATGGCACCTATGTTTAATACTAAAACTACTATCCACAATGACTAAATCAAGTAAGCAGACATGAAGTCATAACTAAAATATTGAATGTAAATATAACCTCCAACAAACCTATTGTAGAAAAATGAATTTCATATCCTGAGCCTGGCTTAGCGTTTCCCATGGAATGTAAAGCTGCATTGTTATCAACTTCCCTTTTTAGGTAACAATGTTCACTCTGTGAACAAGACCATAAAGTCATAAGAATTGCGGCAAATTGTATGGACAAACAGTTGCCCACACTGGCACCCTGATTGTTAATGATGGCAGACAGTTATGAACTGCACTGTTTGCCTCGATACAGAATAAAATTCAACTACTACTTCCTTATAATCCACGCCCCCCTTTTTTTCTCCCACATCTGGCCCTCCCTTTCCTTAACAGCCCTCCCTATGTCCTTGTGGTTTTGCCCCACCTTTTGTCAAGTATCAACAGGCAACAAGACTTTAGAAGAACACACCTCTACACAGCGCGCTCATGCACATGCTTACAGCAGCAGTTAAGATCAGGAACGCAGTAGAGAACTGCAGCTCTACTGGGATCTACTGTGGGACAGATTACTCTACATAGCTGCTCTGGACTTCAGAGGATTTGATGAGCTACTATGGGAATGAGACCGAGAGACTTGTGCTGCAGCTGTCAGTGGAAATAGGAGTTTGGGATGACTCTGAACACGGACTGCTCTACCAATTGTGACATTTGTAAGGAGTGGCTGCTGTGGTGTGTTTCTCAACATTTGAAGCATCAAAGATAGGGAACCAAGTGGTGGGAAGCTGGTGTGGGATTGCTAGTCTCTTGCAGGTTTCATCTCTTTCTTTCTCCATCCCCAATGGTATCATCTAGGCTGTTCAGTTCCATTCTTAACCTTATATACAGCCCTTTTAAAATTCCTGCAGTGCATGTCTTATTTTTTTCTCACTTTCCCACAACTTTATATACCTTTGTATCCTCACAAGCTGTGCTTTGTGTTTATCCTCTTTTCTTTTTTGTTTTTTTTGTTTACTAGCAACAATGGATCTGACTTTGTGGCAGTACCAGTTTAGGATCATCATGCTGGGGGATTCCACAGTGGGCAAGTCCTCCTTGTTGAAACGCTACACTGAAGACTTGTTCATGGAGTCCATCAACCAGACGGTGGGCGTAGACTTCTATGTTCACTTCCTGGAGGTGGAGCCGGGGGTCCGTGTCAAGTTGCAGTTCTGGGACACAGCTGGACAGGAGAGGTTCAGGTGAGGACAAACCCATCTTGTAACAGTGGGGCAAAGTGTCTGTCATTGCACTATTGGATGTCTTCATATATCAAAATACCTTCTTTATATGCACCAGGCTTGTATAAGACAGTAAAACAAAGAATTGTTATTCTTCCATTCCTATGATGAATATTTAAAGAAATGACTCACTTGTATGCAAATATTCTACCCAAATAAACTACTACTGGTTATTCCATTCACACCGGAGCTCTTGATCAGTGTTTGCTTTCAGCTATTACTGTGTAACCACACTGTCACCCTCACAAGTGTGCAATGTGTACAGAGATGCAGTATGTGTAATGCTTGAGGTGGAGAAGGACGATCTTTGAAAAGGCATTATTCTTCCTGCTCAGCATATTTAATAAAAAAACTAGGAGTAACATGTTTCATTCTGTCTCTAAATTCATTATTTCAGTTCTCCAGTTGAATGAACCGTAGCAAATTGCAAACAGTGCCTGTTTGTGTTTACCTCCTCTCTGCGTGGTATCTGTAGCCTGCTAATCCCACTTGAGTCAGCTAAAAGCTCAGCCAAATCAGGTTTCTTTTCATACAGAAGAATTCTACTCAAGGAGTGCGTTTTTACTGACTGGCTACAGGGAGGACCCTTTATTAAGCCTTTCCTTTGGTTTAAACATTCAGTGACTCATGGGGGAACTATGTGCCTCTTGACGATGTCATGATTAGGGTGAAAAAAACATAGTGGTTATCAATTTGTTACAAAGAAACAGACTCTTTGTCAATCTGCTTATCTAAAAAAGCTCAACTCAAACAGTGCACATAATCAGCTGATTATTTGCTCACTGGAACAGGAAATAAGTTGGTAGCAAAGACTGAACTCTGCACTAGTGAATGCTTTGGAAAGGTTTTCATGTGTTGAAATACAAACCTCCTCCCTCTTTTTAAATTTTCTTGTGTCTCTTCTTTCCTCAGGTCGGTCACCCGTTCTTATTACCGCAACTCTGTCGGAGGCCTCCTGGTGTTTGACATAACCAACCGAGCCTCCTTTGATCATATTAAGGAGTGGCATGGTGAAGTGTGCGAGCGAGTGCAGCCGCATAAGGTTCTGTTTGTCCTGGTGGGCCAAAAGAATGACAGAGATGCTCAGGGGGAGAGGGTCGTGAGTCGGGAAGAGGCTGAGAAACTGGCCGGACAGCTAGGGATGCCCTATTTGGAGGTCTCTGCCAAGACAGGCCAGAATGTGAGGGACGCCTTTGAGCTGCTCACTCGACGGGTCTACCAGGGTCTGCTGAGTGGAGAGGTACAGCTGCAAGAGGGCTGGGATGGAGTCAAGTGCGCTGCACCACAGGCGCTGCAGTTACAGAGAGCCAGCCTGGCACAGCCCAGCACAGCCTCTAAGAACAATAAGAAGTGCTGTGGTTGAACTGTGGACTGGTGGTGGTCACCCAAATGCACTCATGTTACTGTGGAACCAAAACCAGCCCCCAGGAGGTCGGATTTGTGGTGGTATTTTACTGTAATATTGTGGTCATCATGAAAGACACTGATTTGCACCTTTTTTTGTGAAGATAGTTTAACAGTTAGTCAGAAACTAATTTGAGGAAACATTGCATGACTTTACTTTGACATTCCTGAAATGGGGGAAGATTTAACTTTAGAAATAAAGATTTTGTGTAATGTATATCTTTAGCCATGATGGTGGCCTTGGTTGGTCTGTTGATCCACCACTTTGGTCTTATTGGAGGATGACACAGATATAGTAGTCTTAAGTGGGTTGTTTCCGACTGACTTTTCAGCAGCTTTACCGCCAGCTTGACATTTGGTTTTGGTTGAAATATCTTGACATCTATCAGATTGCTGTGAAATTTGCTGCAGACGTTCAAGGTCTCTTAACTTTTCCTCTAGCACCATCATCAGGTCAAAATTTCAATTTGCCCAACAATTTGGTTAGTGACCAAATAGCTGCAAAGGTAATTACATTCTTCCTTCCTTTCATTCATTCTCTCCATGACTGGCAACAGTTAAGGTATTGGGTCCCCTGGCTGAGATTAGAAACATCACCCTAGGCTTCTGTGTGAATTCATCTTTTGGGCCCATGTAGTCTGGAAAAGGCTTTGTTGCATCACCAGTAATTGCATGGTATCCTGCGAGTGAGTGATTGTTTTCAGGTGCTGTTGTAAAATGTATTAAATAAAAACTCTAGGGTGCCTTTGGATATTGTTCTCTTGAAATGTTGTGACAGGTTTCTATAGCAATTATTATTCATCTGCCTGATGAACAGCCTCCTGTGTTTCTGCGTACAAAATGCAGACAATTCATTTTGCTACACCTACATTAAAGATTCACTGACACGTTAACACTTGGGTCTGTGTCTCTGCAAATACACAACAAGTGAACTGATTATATTTCATGGTTTTAAATGTTTTGGCTCCACTTAACCCTTAAAAACTTCAGCGTAGTCGTCAACATTACAGTGCTATTTTTACAACTTCCGGGAATTACAGTCATAAATGTGGAGAGCCACTTTCAAGCACAACGAATGAATCACTGTTAATGAACACTTATGTGAATTTTGTTTTAGGTTAGTTGCAAGGTAAAACCCTTCTCTGCAGACTCAATATATACTAATTTCCTATATATGGAGAAGCCTTGGCAAACCTTTTGTCAGTTCAGTCTGGCAATAGAAGCCATACTCTATAACGTCTTTGTTTAATATCATTAGTTTCTTTTTTTTAAATCAGACATTGTGAAAAGTCAACATCTGAGGACTAATAATTCTAACATTATTTAGATGCAATTTGCTGAAATAGACAAAAGTCAAAATAACAATTAACAAGGTTGGTTGAAATTGTTAATGTAATAAAACCTACTACATTCAGGAACAATACACAACAGCACATACATGTCTAACAACAGAGACAAACTATTTACTGTATTTGTGGCCACCCTTTGCAGTAGGAATTATTTTAGACCCTCCATTTAAAAAACCAAACAAGAAAAGGAATCAACAGCACTGTATGAGTGTGTAAACAGGGGAGCCATAATTTCTTACATAACAGCTGTGATTATCTATTATTGGCAAGATAACAACAAATATCAATTTAAGGAGGCATGAATCTGTAACATTCACATCCAAATGCTCCAGAGTATCAAAAGGTAAAGCTGATACAGCAGTGGTAACAATCCAAAAGAAGTATTCCAGCAAATGTTTATTGACAAAATGCAATGAATAAAGTTCTGCCAGGCTTAGCTTAATGGTAACAAAACAGAATCAGAGACAAGAATTACATTATTGTGTGACGGTGCTGGCAAAACACTCAAAAGTTGGGGAGTCATGACGATGAAACACTATCTAATGTCAAAAAAAAGAAAAACTACCCCCACCCAAACCATCTTTTCATCTTTATTAGTCCAAAAAAATCCCAGTTAAAAAGGAAGAAAAACAAACAAAAAAAGAAAAGACAATACACAGAATGGGTACAACATATTAGCGTACAGTCTTGCTACTTTTTGGTTGTCTTGCGGATCAGCGCCATTCTCTGAAACAAGAACAAATACAAACAGTTAGGTATTGTATTCAATTACAAGTCATTATAAAACCAAAATATTAATAATCAACAGTTTTCATGTCTCTGTGCACACTGTTCATGTTCCATTAGCAAGAAATATATATATACATATATATACATATATCACACACACACACACACACACACACACACACACACACACACACACACACACACACACACACACACACACACACACACACACACACACACACACAGCTTTTATTGCTCACCTGTTTGTGGGCCTCTGTGGTGCAAGCCTTCTTGAACGGCCGGATCTCATCTGAGCCATAACCAGGAATCCACATGTTCCACTGGCGTTCTGAGAAGAGCAATGCACAATGTCAGCAGGACACATGCTGTATGAACCACTCTGGACTTCCAACACATATTTAGTGACATTAAACTATTTATATATGCATTACTATCAAGGTTATCATTTCCTTGTTGGTATCTCTGTCTATAACAAAACTGACACACTTCCAAGATATAACTTCTATGTCGTTTCCAAGAACAGTTAATAATGTGGTCAGGACTATAACACAAATAATTGCAACTTCTGTGACTGTCTTGAATATTCTGTGTGTGCTTCTGTATCTATAAATGTCTCCAAGGAGATAAGCACAAATTACTTTAACTCAAGGGTGAGTGGCATAACATTTTCAAATGTCTTTTTTTTGGTATTTTCTCAACAGCACACTGATCCATGAAGTCTTCCATTTGAGATGCTTAGTGTCGGACATTTTTGTAATATTCAAAAGGAATAAATTTGCTCCCTACAATTATCACAATTTATTTTTAAAATGCACAAAAAGGTTTGATAGGTTTTTACATACAAAGTAACTGTCCTATATGAAAACACCCGATGAAATTGGCATTGTATACACATAAACAATCACATATTCGGTAGGGCATAGTTTCGTACTGAGACAATCGTTTTGGAAAGCAATCATCGCCCAGTGATTACAGTAATTTTTTTTGCATCATCTATAGAGACACACTAAACACACCCTTGTTAAAATATTAGGTTGTTACAATTCTGAAAAAAGTCACAAGCCACTTACCAAGATGTAACTGAACATCCTTCACCTCCAAGGTGTTGGACTTGCGGTGGCGTGCCAGTTGACAGGCTGCGGTTACTACACTCTCTATAAAGTCATCTGCAATTTGAAGCAGCATCTGAGAGGACAGACATTTGGAAAACATCAATCGTTTGCAGTAAAGGAAATCAGCATTTCACAACGACTGAAAAATCCCCCCCCCTCCTCATATTTTCAGTCCATGCTCACAACATTTATCAGCCAGACTTTCAATAGAATAGGATTTCCAAATTATGGATGTGACCGTAAAGTAGAGCAGCTTTAGAGAAATAAAAGTGGTATTTATTCCACAACAAAAATTCCCACTGCTGCTTATGTTTACTCTTCAGAAAAAAAACATCATTGATTTGAAACTGGAATTGAAACCACTGACAAACCTCCTCAACATCCTCATCCAGCTGCTCATTCGGATCGATCTCCCTCACCAGGTCCTGCAGCTTCTTCTTACTGAGCACCTGAAAGAAAGCAGATGGATCCATTCACTCCGTTAAAAGAAAGTGGAGTACAGATGCAGCACACAATGCTTGTTATATTAGTATAATGATGGCCCTAATTGCAAAAATGAGGGCAACCATGAGGCCTTTTTACATTTAAAATCAAGACCAACAAAATTGGTCTGATATGTAAGTTTAACACCGATATTTATAGAATATCTCACGTTTTAACATAAAAATAAATGTTAATCAAAAACAGTTACAAAACCCAATCACAGCATGTAATCTGTTACTAATTGTTTTTTGGGGGGGAAACTGTCCCACACTTCAGGTAGCTCTGATGTTGAGAAGAATTTTAGTTCTTGTCGTAAAGACTGAAGCCAGTAGTGTGGCTGTAATTATTAGATAGTTTGACTCATTGAAAACTTCACAACCTTGGCTATGATCACAACAGTGTAATAAATCACACTTTTTAAACAATGTTGTAGTTAATGTTTGCAAGGGAACTGGTGCTGCATTTAATTTAGAGCATTTACAGCAGCGTCTTTGGGTTTGGGGAGTAACAAAATGGACTGACCTGAGATCCCTCTGGACTACTTCTGCCGGCAGGGCCAGGGGTCAGAGGCTTCACCACTGTTACGGTGCTGTTAGCCATTCTGGTGGCAACAGGAAAAAGTGGAGGGACTTTGGGAGTTTCACAAGAGACGAAACTGTTGCTGGTCTGTACTTGTCAGAGTCCTGAGTGACAGTCCAAGATGGGAACCGATGTGATGGATTATCTTTTACAGGGACCACGTCCGAAAATCTGAGGGGGGGGGGGGTGTCAGGAATTACAGAGGTTACACAGAGGCAATATTGATAGACCTGATTACAGAATCCTAATGAAGGAGCCATTTATTACTGCTGACTCTGTTCACAGTCCTTAAACGATTTATCCGTCCAATTTGTTTATATCACTTCTATTTTATATGAGGTGTATTTTAATCTATTTAATTCTCTATTTCTGCTTCCCGCTGATGTTTTTATCTTTCCCCCCTCCGTGTAAAAAAACAACAACTTTGTAGCTTGATAGTATAAACAGTTAAAACTATGATAGCTAATAGTAATGTAGCTCCAAGACACAGGAAGAAACTTAGCCGTAAAACAACGCTGTAGGAGCTAGTCAAAATACTAACCATGTTAACAAAATAACACCAAACTTGTACAATAAAACGAGGAAATACGGAGCTGTTAAGTGGCCGTGAAGCTGAAATTAATAAAACAAACGCGTAAAATACCGACGCTAACATAACGTTACGTGCTAAAAACAATAGCAGCTATCAGGCTTTCAATTTAGCCCGACTGGCTAACATTAGCAGCTAATACAACGGCGGGGCTAAATACACGCTGCATCCTAAAATTAAGCGCTGGATTGCCAACTTACCCACTTAAACAAACACTATCTGTCCATGTTTCGACGCCGTTGCGACGACAATAAGTGAGTTTGACACAGAAAGGCTCCCTAAAATTGACTCTACACAGCTAGAAAATTCAGCGAGGTAATTTTTTCACTACTTCCGCTTTGTTTATGCTTGTTTCCGGTGGCAACATGTCGCCTCTACTCTGCCACCTGCTGGATATTTTAAAGAACTACAACAGGATTCAATAACAACGGTGGATAAAGGTGTAGTGAACGCAAACGAGCTGGATAAACTACACAGGGGCAGAAATAGTGTAGAAATGAAGTTTATTTTGTTAGTCCGAAAATTAAGATAACAGATAATAGGATATCATGAATTCAACACACATAGGTCTATTACGTTAATGATAACAGTGATTATAATAATAATAAAAACAAATATGTTAAAATAATGTCAATAATGCACTTTAATAAATCCCAGACAGTTTAAACAAGATTTTTTTTCTGGTAGGCTGACTAATTACAATGGAATAAAAACACCACCAACATTTCTGCAAATATTATTTGCAATGGTATTCAGTAAGACATCTCACGGCCAGTTACTTTGGGAGTTCATGACAGTACAATAGCCTCCAACCACCCTAAGTAAGAATGTTTTAAGTTGATGGGGTTTATTCTTCCAAATAAAGTAACAGACAGTGGTTAATATTCTTAGCAGTGGTTTTTAATAAGGAGACAAAATGGAAAAGATCTTCTGCCTTAGAAATAAAAACTATCCCAAGAACTGAGGTATTTTATTTGCGGCCACAATACAACCATACACTTTAATGTGTGTAGGGTTTTTCTAAGATTTTATAAACCTTATTTTTTTCCCTCGCATATTCTAATTGATGGATGCAGCAAGACCTAATTCTATACTGCCAATGAGCAAGACAGAAACCGAAGAAAGTGAAAAACTAATACTTTAGAGTGTAGTCCATGGTCACAGTCAGTTAGTCTAAAGATGTCTCTGTAAGCATTTTAAGTCGGCAGCAAAAAAAAAAAAAAACGATCCTGAGACTCTCTGACAGGCTGAGTTTCTTTCGATCCTGTCTCCCGTTCAGCTCCGGTTACCAGCTAATCAATCAAAGGTCACAGCATATGAAGCGTAAAATGTTTGCTTGTTCAGCCTCACATATCACACCGGGATATTCCGATGCTCTGCGGCTACATGTCAAGACTATCAAATTCTGTTGAACTTCTTTGGGAAGACACTGAGCTCAACGACTGAGGACTGAAAACGTGATAGGACAGACTGCGCATAGAGACAAATGACGCACAGGGAGTGAATTTGATCACCGGAGCAGCGCAGTTCTTTAATGTACAGCATTCATAAACAATATCTCAGCCTTAAATGCTCCTCACACAAAGGACTTATTGAACAATTTATTTTCGGCAATATAATGATTTGGATGGATAGTCTCTTTTTGTGCTTTCAGAATTTCAGAATATTTTGAGCGCACTTCCTGAAAATAACAAGAACTATAAGCCACACCTACACCTCGTTATAGATAAATACTGAGCAAACTTTCATTTCAGATTAGAAACTGCGTAGGAGTGCACACCGTCTTTCTGGAATTGAAAAGCCTTTTTTACAGTCATGAAAGTACTTGTAGTTGTTGCAGTGGTTGCCCTGATTCATGGCAGTTATGGTAAATATGTATTTTTTTCCTCTTGGACTATCATAAACAATCTCTTCAAAACATTTGAATGTATTTCTCCTCTGTAATGAGGTATTGGTTTAATATTCAAGTCTGGTTCTGATCTTTTTTCCACAAATATATTCATACACTTGCTGTCCCTGGGTTTTGTGTGTGTGTGTGTGTGTGTTATTTTTTTGTTGTCTGTCTGTGTGTGTTATTTGTGTGTGTGCGTGTGTCTGCTTGCCTGTCTGTTTGTTTTGTTTGTTTTTCCTCTGGAGGAAAGCTTTAGTTTCTCTTCTGTCACAGAAGAGAAACTAAAGCCCCTGGTGGTTTACAAGACTTAGACTAAAACAGGAAATGTTGGTAGAATTATCGAGGGACTGACAAGAAGAACAATTAAATATTTTTATGTATACATATATGCCCAGGCCAGTTTACATAAAATTCCCATCTAAACTGTGAATAAATAATATAACGGCTTGTGTTGTGCAAAACTTTTATGTCGTCAGTAGTGTCAGTAAAGCGGTAGAACCTGTTGCTGGTCATGTGGCCATGGTGACTTTGAGAGTATTGGCAGTTTTCCAGCAGGAGCCTGAAATAAATGTCAGGAAAAGGGAGAGGTTGTTTTGAAAGTGTTGCCCAGAACAGCAGCTAGATTCCCTGTCCAAGTCAGCACGCCTTCACTCCAGAACCCCCTGCCTGTTCATGTTATGATCAATAACTCGCATCTGTAATCTCTGTCCACATGCAGCCACTTTGCTCATTAAAGGGCCAACCGAGCCAGTTCTGGAGGGAGAGAGGATCACACTGGAGTGTCAGTACTCAGACTCTGAGTTCAACATCAGCCAGGTCCACTTCGAGATCTTCTCACAGGTGAGCCACGGGAATGATTGGGTGGGTGTGATAGGAAGTAGAGAAAATATTTTCCTCTCACCGTGACGTTGACTTGCTTAAAACACTGCAGTTTTTGTATGAAAGGCCAAACTGTTTTGTTGTAACTGTTTGAGTTATTGTAAAATAAATGTAACATTTGTGATTTATTAACCCTTGTTCTAGTGGGAAAAGAAGATGACTTGTTTTTGATGTTATTTTTATTATATATTTTATATTTATTTATATAAATTATTATACATGCTGATACTGTACATGAAAAAAGATGACTGAACAATGTGACATGTCATAACATTTATAGCTGACACTAAAGTGCTCTATGTAATTACACACCGAGTGCTGTGTGGTTTAATACAGTCGATTATTGTTCCTCAACGTAATGTCATGAGATTTTGTTACTTTAAGATTATGTTACCTGAATCTGATATCTCAAAATACGCATTTAAGTAGACAACTACCATCAACATTACCCACAACAGTGACATTTTAATTACCAATCTTTCTCTCTGTCTGCCTTCACCAGTACATAAAGAGATGGCGTCCAGTTTGGGAGCGATCTTGGTGCTATGATTGGATGCAAATCGAGCAGACAGGAGACAGTCTGGTCCTCTCTATCCCCCGTGCGGGGAAATATTATGAGGGGCCCTACCGCTGTGTGTCCGACGCTGAAAATGTGACTTCGCCAGACAACTCCTCCAATGTCTTCGCCTTGAAAGTGCATTGTGAGTACCTGGGTTGATATGGGTAGGAGCTGTGTAGGGCCTGTCTGCAGAAAGTCTGTATTTCCCTTTGGCCAAATAACGACATCTTACATTTTTCATGTTGTATGTGTCCTGCAGAGGTCAAAGAGATTTCTGCCTGTCTGACATTAAGCTAGATAGAAATGTGACATGCAAATGAGACACACAGCTTCTACATTTCACTTTCCATCAAGTGCGTGGTTTAACTGAGAATACTGAAATGACTAACAAAACAGGAAGTGTAAAAAACACCTGAATGTACATTGGTAAATAGTCTAGGTAAGGAGACAGAACCGAGAGACAGAGAAACCTCGCAATTTTCCTCATATTTCCAAACAGCAGGAGGTAAAGACAATCTTTCAGACACTGTGGACACAGCTTTCTTCACAGTGAGAGTTAGAAAAACACATGAATAGTTAATAACACAAGACATATCTATGCAGTGCAGCTGCAGAGTGTGTACAACAAAACAACTGCAAAAAGTACAGATCCAGTGCAATCACTGTGCTACCTATGATAGGTTGACTGCAGTCATTTCATTTTTTTTCTTTTGTACTCCAAGCAAACAAAGGCACATTCTCCCGGTGAGGCTCAAGTTTGAAACTATCAGTGTAGGATACACAGTTGCATGAAACGACATCCGTGGCGTAGCTAGTCAGATTATCAGTGTCCTCTATCTTCTCAGTGGCCATCAAATCGACCGTGATGCTGTTTGATAGGCTCCTCAGCCTCATGGGGGGAATCAATAAGAGGCAAAGATTAGAATGGACTAGAGGACTGAAGGAGACAGAGGGGGAGAGAAGCCAGGAGTTGGATGGACGTGGGCCATCTATTGAGATGGAAGAGAAAATGAGCCATTATTCACAACACTGCCTCTCTAAAGACTTCGATAAGATGAAGCCTATTATCATTATTATTGATTGCTTGGTACAGTCCGTACCACTGGGAGGCATTCATACTTGAGGCTATATACTCAAATATACTTAAAAGATCTGAGTGTTTACCAGCTGCTACCATTGCAAACATATGTTCAGTCACGCCCCAAACTCACGAAGAGGCTTCCGCGTACTTTAAATATCACGCTTCATTAATGCTCAATCATGCTTCCTCATTCCTGCTGTGTCTTTAGATATGGGGGAGCTGTCACTGACCAGGGAAGGCTTCACCAGCTACCTGGGTGTCCCACAGGAGTTGAAGGTGCGACGCGGGGATGACGTGGTGCTGAAGTGCTACGCCAGCTCATCAGAGAAGCCAAACTACCTCTGGAATAAGAACGTGAGAAAGCCTAAGGAAATGTGCACAGTGATAGTGTCCTCATTATGCTTTTGGAAACTTGTCATTTTCTCTCCCGCTCCCTCGCTCCGATTTCGATGTGACCTCTTTATTTTTTTCCCTGTCTTGTTTCAGTCTCTCTAGGTCCCTCTTTCTTTCTTGGCTTTGCTCAAGCATTCTCTTAATTTTCTCTCCTCTTCAAACTCGTCTCAGTTTCTCTCACTGACTTTCTCAAGCCACTTGTTTCTTCTTCGCCTTTCGTCTATTCATCCCCTACTTTGAAGAAGTACTCTGTATTTAAGTGACCGGTTGGCTTAGGCCCACCACTCACTGGGGATTGCAGCTTGCCCACTTACAGAGGATTAATAGTTTAATGAGGTCTAGACAAGAGCCAGTCAACCTGAAAACAATTATGCGGATAGATTTCTAATGATTTTTTTAGTGTTTGGTTAACCAGTATTGAATTATTCAACTGGGCTCTTCGCTGGGCTAAGGAACCCACGCCTGAGGGAAATTAAGACATCTTGGTGTGAAGTGCCGTAGTGACAACAGGCATGTAGAACAAGAAGTTGTTGATGAGTCGATACACTGTGCCCTTGTGGTGAAA